ACTACTTAGTAGCTCAGTCTTCTTAATAACCTAAGAAATGAATTTGCAAGTATTGGATTCTTCAAAACAAGATATTAGGAGTATTCCTTGGGCTTAAAGATAATAATTATTAACATAAAATTTGAAGAAAGACTAATAAATGAATGTATATTTTCATTCTATTAAAATTAATGCAGAAAATTTTAGATCAAATGAATACTTTAAATATGATCTTGTGTATTAAAAGGATGATAATACTGTAGGAGTCAAAGGACCATTTAATTACTTTCATCTTACTATATAGCAATACTAATAATTTTAAGTCGCATTTGTAGCTGACTTTGATACTACTTCTCCTGTTTTAAGTTTTTTAAAAAAACATTAATAATAAAACAATGGTAAATAAAATAAATATAAAAATATAAAAATATTTTTTTTAAAATAAAAAGATAAGTTCGTATCTATAATTGGGGGAGGAGATTACGGTTATGACCTTCATGACCTTAATGGAGAAAAAGGACTAAAATTTATGAAAGAAACTGAAACTTATTTTAATGAAATAGCCTTTAATTCAATTGCTGGAAATCATGAAGATAAAGGAAATATGTATGAATTTTATTATAATTTTTATATTTTTAAAAAAATAATTAAAATTATAAAAAAAAATTAAAAATTATTAAGAATGAAATTATTTATATATTATTTTGTTATTATTTAAATATATATCAATATATTAATAGAAAAATTAATTTTATAAAAGTTAAAAATAAATAAATATAATGAATATATATATAATAAATATAAATAAAATAGAAATTATATATTTATCTATTCTAAATTAATTTTTTTAATATATCTGTATAAAAATTTATGTACTTAGTTAGAGCTTTAACCATATGAGAAAAATATATGATATAGTGAAGTTTTTTAATAAATAGTTATCTTAAAGATTTTCAAATTAAATACATAGGATAATTTTCTAACAATAAATAAAAATCATAATTTAAGTTGTTATTTTTATTTATTTTAATTATTTTTTATAAATAAATTTTATTAAAAATCGTACACAAAGCTGCATAATCGATTTGGATATTTTCAATTAGTAAATTAAATTCATAATTTCTTTTTAAATATTTTTAACCATTTAAGTTTGATCTTTTTTATAATCACTAATTGTTGCAATTCCTGCCATTTCAATATTTTCTATCAATTAGAAAGGATATTTTTAATTTTTCTATTATATTTTAAAATATTTTTTTTTTTTTTAATGACGAGAAACAAGGACTGTACCTTTTAAAGATTATTAAAAATCAAAGTACGTGGGTCTGTTTTTTTAATATTTCAATCTTCAACTAAATCAATTTTTATAGAACTTTTTTTAATAAAGCAACCTAAACTTATATTTGTTATTTATAAATATTTCGGTTTTTATTCCTTATTGGTTTGTATTTAATTTTATTTAAATATACTATTAAAATTAAATGAAAATGTATCGATTAATATATATTTACTTATAAAATTTATATGACAATTACTTTAATTAATATAAAAATAAAATATTATTTAAATAATTTAATTTCTTTTATAAATTTTATTAGAAAATATTATATAATTAGACTTTATAATTTTATTTAAAATTAAAATGATTTAATTATTTGGATTACATATTATTTTATTTTATTTAGCGAATTCTTTAGTAAATGTTACAGCTGAAAAATGTTAACCTTAAGGTGTAAAAGTAAATTTAGGTGACAAATACAATCCTCAAATATCGAATCCAACTTACCATTATGAAGTAACTTATTTTACAACTAATGAATGTAAAGAAAATAAATTAATAATTAATACGTATACTAACTACTTAGTAGCTCAGTCTTCTTAATAACCTAAGAAAATGAATTTGCAAGTATTGGATTCTTCAAAACAAGATATTAGGAGTATTCCTTGGGCTTAAAGATAATAATTATTAACATAAAATTTGAAGAAAGACTAATAAATGAATGTATATTTTCATTCTATTAAAATTAATGCAGAAAATTTTAGATCAAATGAATACTTTAAATATGATCTTGTGTATTAAAAGGATGATAATACTGTAGGAGTCAAAGGACCATTTAATTACTTTCATCTTACTATATAGCAATACTAATAATTTTAAGTCGCATTTGTAGCTGACTTTGATACTACTTCTCCTGTTTTAAGTTTTTTAAAAAAACATTAATAATAAAACAATGGTAAATAAAATAAATATAAAAATATAAAAATATTTTTTTTAAAATAAAAAGATAAGTTCGTATCTATAATTGGGGGAGGAGATTACGGTTATGACCTTCATGACCTTAATGGAGAAAAAGGACTAAAATTTATGAAAGAAACTGAAACTTATTTTAATGAAATAGCCTTTAATTCAATTGCTGGAAATCATGAAGATAAAGGAAATATGTATGAATTTTACAATTAGTTTTACAGAAACCCAGGTCCAGATAACGATTATTATACTTGGGCGGTAGGAGATGTATTATTCATAGGATTTAATGGATTTGATATGGCTTTTATCGATGATTTTAGCAAAAGAAATTATATAGATGGAAAAAATGTAGACTTTATTGAATAAAATGGAATATACTTTGTAAAATATTCGATGAAACTATTCTTTTGCAGTAATTTACTCACATATTCCTTTGCATTGTAGTTTGTAAGTTTGGAATAATTGTGGTTAATACAGTAACTAATTCTAAAAAATGGAAGATCTTTTTGTTTAATATAAAGTCGATTTGTATTTAGGTGGACATATTCATGCCTATGAAAGACATCATCCTATTTATGATGGAGAACCCTAATTTACTAAGGATTCAGATTGTAATGATGAAATTTGTTATATTTATAATAACCCGAAAGCTCCTGTCTATGTTATTGATGGAAGCACAGGGGCTATATATGATAGTCCTTAATATTATTAAAACTCTAAAAATTCTTAAATAGTGGATGATAGATTTGGATATAGTGTGATTAGCTATATGAATAAAACTCATTTAAAATTTGAGCATTTTTCTTATATTTAAAATATTTATAATAATAAATTTATTGTTTAGAGTGATGTGTTTTACATTTAGAAGACTATTACCTTTGGATTTATTTTAAAGGCTTTTTATTTTTCATTAAGTATTATTATTTTGTTTTGAAAGAAATTATCATTTATTTTTTTATTCAATATAATATTATATTTAAGTAAAAAAGTATATAAAAATTAATTTTAGAAAATAATAAGAATAAATATAAAAACAAAAATAAAAATAAAAATAAAAATAAAAATAAAAATAAAAATAAAATATAAAATAAAATAAAATAAAATAAAATAAAATAAAAATAAAATGAATAAAAATATTTATGTTTTTATTATTTAAAAATTCTTTTTTATGATCAAAATATATTTCAATTAGTGAAAGAAGAATTTATTATATTAAAAATGAATATATAAAAATACATATATAATTAATTACTATATGATAGAAAAAAAAATTTAAAGAAAAATAAAAATAAATAATATAGAAATTTAATATTTATTTGTTATAAAATATTTTTTGTAATCAGAATAATAATGCTAAAAGAGCTAATAATATCAATCCAACTTTTAAAATATTTGCGTTTGCGTTTGTGTTTGGTTTTGGGTTTTCGTTTGTGTTAGCTTTTTCGCATTATGATTAGCTGGTAATAGTAGTAAATTTAGAATGAATATGAGTATCAGCACATAAAAAGCTAGTTTTAACAATTGGATTTTAAATGCATGATGCTTTATCTTTGCAACAGTGAGCTTATCCATTGTTTAAACAGTTTACTCCACCAATATCAGTACAGTATTTAATGCAATTAGAGCTTTAACCATATGAGAAAGCATTAAGATTAAAGGGTTATTTTAAGTTTTTTTAAAGTTTTTTAAGTAAATGGTTATCTTAAAAGTTTTCAGAGTTGAAAACATAAGCTATAGTTCCTACAATAGCAAAAATAGTAATTAATGAGGTTATTTTTTTGATCATTTTTTATATATATTATTTTTTTTATTTTTTTTTTATAATAATTTAAAATATTATTTTTAATAAAATAAAAAAACAAGAAATATATGAAGTTTATAAATAAATAAAGCTATTTATATAAAAAAATTATTAAAAAAAAAAATTATAAAAAAAATAAAAATATAAAATAATATTATTTAAAATATTTAAATTTTTATATTAATTTAATATAATTTAATGTTTTTAATTATACCTATTTATTTTATTCTTTTATTAATTAATATTTTTGATTATATATATTTTACAAAATATATATATATTTTATATATTAAATAATAATATATTTAAATTTAAATTATATTTATAATAATAATATGATAATTTTAAATAAAATATTATTTTTTATTTATAATATAATATTCATAATTTTTATTATTATAAATAAATATTATTTTTAAACATTTTCATTTTTATTTTCATAACATTTAATTAAATAAATGTAACTACTTTCTAGAGAATGCTAATTCTTATAATTCATATTTTAATTAATTTAATATTATATTTTAAGCAATATAATTAATTAATTTAAACTAATTTTATCCATTATATAGTCTATTGAATCAAATTAAATAACTCTATTATTTTTAAATTTTTTTAATATTAATAAAAATATTAATTTAAAAAAAAAAAAAATCAAACCTTTAATAAATTAATTATATTTTATTTCTATTAATAAAAATAATATTTAAGTATTATTTTATATAATAAAAAAAATAAGAGATTAGCAATTTATTATATATTCATAAAAAAATTCTAAAATTCTAAAATTTTAAATTAAAATATAAAGATAATTTTGATTTCTTATAGTAATATTCAAGCATCATTAAACTTTTTTTTTTTACATTTTCTTCTTATTTATAAAATCATATCAAATTATATCTATGCAATCTTTTTTGATTATTTATTGTTAATTGTTTCATCTACTTTTTTATTTCTACTTTATATTTTTAATTATTTCCTTTTGTGTTTATTTTTGATTAATTTTTTTTATTATTTAAATAGTTTTTGTTTAAAAACATTATATTTTTACATTTTTACTATATATTTTGTTTGAATTAAATACCTAATATTTATAATACAAGTAAATATACTTATAATTATTTAATTTTTATTAAAAAGTAAAAAATATATATTTATTTTACATTTTACTTTATAAAATATTTATTTTAAAATAAATATTTAATTCAATTTTTTTATTTAAATATTCCAAAATATAGCATATGTATATAATGCCTAATTTTTTCTCTATTACTGTTATATTACTCTTCATTAGTTTCCCATTTCTCATAAAAATTTTAAACAGCCGATTTTAAATTCTAAGTACTTTCAACAGAAGCTAGAATTTCCATAATAAGTTTTGATAAATTAATATGAGTTTTTATAATATCTAAATGCTCTTCTCTTAAAATAATAGCAAATAATTATTAGCTTTAGCATCTTTATTAATTTATTAAATCCAAAATTAATTCAAATATAATACAACATTCTTTAAAAATATAAATTTCGACTTGAATACTACTAGGTACAGTAACTTTAATATTTTTATTTTATTTTTTTAAAACTCTGAATCTTAAAAAAGATAAAAAATCCAAACAGACTTTAGTTTTTTTGAGTCTAAATTCCTTAGTAAAATCTTCGAAATTTCTATCAACCCCTAGAAAAGGAATGAGTCCTTTTTCTTATTAAAATTCAGTGATATATCCTATAAAAAGGCTTTGTTTTAGATTTTCTTCTTTTAAAAAAATTCTAAATGGAAAAGAATCATACGGATTATTTTCCATGCAAAACCCATACCAATTTAATAAATATCTATTATTTCTACGGCCATAACAATGGTAAATTTGCTAATTTTTACATATTTTTTTCGCATTACTTACTGTAAAGTAATTGTTATTATCTTAAGGGTTGTACCAGTCCCATTTTTATTCTAAAAGTGAATTTTTGTATTTGTTTTCTCGAAGAATTTCTTAAGAGTATTCTTTAAAATTTTCTATAAGTTCATATCGGGTATCTTCTTATGTATTTTTTTACAAATTCTATTAAACAATAATACTTTCTTTAATTTTTAAAGATTAAAGTTTTTCGTTTTTTCTAAGTTTTCATCACTTTCACATTAATCATTTTCTTCTGTTTCAGTAGTCGAAAAATAAGGTAATTCCCAAATATTTTTCTAACCGTTTTTAATAAAGTATCCGTTAACAATTTTAATATATTTTTTTTCATCAAAATCTTGATTATTATTATTTTTAAAAATTTGTTTATTTGAAAAAATATAGTCTTTTTTAATATTTGGAGTCAAATGAATCTTCTCAAGTTCATTTTAGGAATATATGAATTCTTGGAAAATTGAAAAATCGACTTTTTTATTTTTTAAAATATAGTTATTGGGTTTTTTAATTGCCCGTTTTCTGTTTTTCGGTTAAAAATTAAATTTATATTCCCATCTTTTGAATGATTGAATGCATCTGCTAAAGGAACTAGCAAGGTATATGGAAAATTCCATCCGTAACACCTTGTAATGCAAAATTAATAACTCCACTTGAATAATTAATAGTTAAGTTTTTCTATTGAAAAAATTTCTTTTGGATATTTTTTTAAAGTTTTTTCAAAATCATTGTATTTTGCGAACATCTTTTAAACATATTTTTTATTTTTTTATTTTTTATAAAAAAAATACTGATATTCTAAATTCTCTATACTATAAATATAAGTAATGATCTCCTATTTCTTGCACTTCTTCTTCTTTCCAATCTAAAAGTGTAAAACTCTCAGGAGCTATTTATAAATATGGATACCAAAATGAATTTTCGCCTTTTATTTTTTCCTTCATTAAATATAATGCTAATTTATTAAATTAAGCATCGTCATCTTCATCTAGATCAAACAAATGAGGATTTTCCTCCAAAATTACTTTTAATTCGCTTTATTCAACTAGGTATGTACTTAATAATAGATTATTAGGGATTGCCACAAATACTTTATTTGCTGGTATTTCCTCTTTTGCTATTACTCCTATGTATCCTGTAGGGCCAAATGCTACAGGAAATTCTATATTATCAAATATTGCACCACCATCTTTTAACCACTTTATGTATCGAATATAATTTTAGTCATTTTGGGCTTTTTGAGTTAATTCAATATTCAGTTCATCGTATTTCATTTATTTTAAAGATTAAAAAGTAATAAATTAATTATATAAAAAAAAATCTTTTATTTTATTAGAAAATACTAAATTTAATAATATATTAATTAAATAAAAATGTTTAAATATAAAAATAAATTTTTTTATAATAATTAATTCTATATTTATAAATAAAATTTCTTTGAAAAGTTTTTCTTAATATATAAACATTTTATAATGTAATTATAATAAATATTAAATATTTTGTTTTTTTATATTATATATAAAATTAAAATAATAAAATATTTATTAAATTTATATAAAATTAAAACTTTATATATTAATTTGCTCATATTTTTTATTGAATAAGTTAATTTATATAAAAATATTTAATTTAATATATTTATGTTATTATTTGTTATAAAAAAACCAACGAAATCATAATTATAATAATAATTTTTTTTTTACTGATTATTTCAAATAAAAATTTATAAAATTTTTAATTAAATTTAATAAATAAAAAATCGATATAATCATTAAATTTAAAAGAAAAAAAACATTTCTAGACAAAGAATTTTATTGGGCATTTAAAATTAATTTAATTTAATTAATTAATTAATAATAAATATATAATTTATACATTTTATAAGTTTATACAATAAAATATGCTTATTTTTAATTTATATTTTATTTATTTAAATATAAAACCAATAAAAATATATTTTTATATAAACTATAACATATTTAGGTATTAATATATAAAAATAAAATAATTTTAATTTTTTATCAAAATTAGTTTAATAAAAATTAATGATTTAAAATATATTTTATGAAATAAATAAAACAAGAAAAAGAAAAATAAAATAAAAAGCATTTAAACCAAAGAATCACCACTTTGTATAATTAAAAGTATTATGAAAGAATTCGAAAATTCCAAAAGTTAAAGTATTAGCTAAAGGTTTTCTAACTAATCTAGGAGCCAAACCTCTATAATATCCTGTAAAACCTTCATAAATATATATTTTTCTGAAAGCATCGAAGATACCTGAATACTAATACGCTGGATTTTTTTCAAACTTGCTCATAATTTGTAATCTAGCCCTAATAATTTCAAAAGGATGAGAAACCGTTGTAGCAACAATACCAGAAACCATACCTGAAATCATAGAAACTTATGTATAATGAATATTCGAATCTTTGAACATTTATTTAATGTTTTTATATAAAACATAATAAGTCCCAGCAAAAGGGCCTTCTTTAGCAGATGATGTCCATGAACCTTTCATAAACTATCCGATTCCCTCATATTTATATATTTTTTTAATCCCATCAAACATGTTTTTATATACATGAAATCCTGGCACTTCTATTCTTGAAGCAACCACTGATAGTGGATTAGTGAAATAAGCTGCAGCCATTCTAGCAATTGCTGAGGAAATAAAACTTGAATATTAATCATCACTTATTGCTTGTTTGGTTTTAAAAAATAGTTCTAATTCTTTCAAAATATGAAAATAAATTGCTGTACTTAATGTTGCTCTTAATATTTCGGGTAATAATCCTCTAAAATACCCTTTTAATCCTTCAGTTTAATGTATATGTTTTCCTACTATTAATATTTATCTAATAACATTTACTTTTTCTATATTTTCAATTTTCATCGGATTTATTATTATGCCTATTTTTACAACTTCTAATGGATGCAAAACGGTACTCGATATTAACCCGGACATTGCTCCTAAATATGCATGATTATTCTAATTTTTTTTTTTGGCTTTTATTAACGTGTTCTATTATTCAATTGTGTGGATTTAACTTTTTTACATTTTTTTTAATTATTAATATAATTATTTTTTATTTTTATATATTTATTTTATTAAAAAATATATTTTTATGTATAAATGAAATATTTTTTAATTTATATTATTAAATGAATTATTTCTATATCTCTTATTTTATACCTTTTTAATTTATATGTTAAGTATAAGTAGAAAAAAAATTTAAAAATTATATTATTTCTTAAAGATAAAATTTTAAAAAGAATAATTAATTTTTTTTATTATTATTATATTTACATTTAGTTATTTATTTTAATAAAAAAAAAACATTCAAATTAAAAAATTAAATTTAAAAATAATTGAAAAATAAATTATATGTTAAAATATTTTAAATATATTAAATTTTTCTAGTTAAATAAAAGAAATATTGAATTAAAAAAATATTAAAAAATAATAATAATAACAACTATAAAGTAAAAAAATAATAATAAAACAAAAAAATTTATTATTCAATTATTTAATGAAAAAATAAAGTTATCTAATTATTTATAAATAGCTTTAATATATATCTACTAATTTATTTCAATTGATTTAATTTTATTATTTAGTTTATGTTGCATTTATTAAGGAGTATAAGCAATAAGAACTTCTTTTGAAATTTAATTCAATTCTTATGAACATTATATAAAATCTTAAATAGATGAAATTAAAAGTTTAACTTTTATTTGATTTTTTTCTTTTTTTAATTATTAATTTTCTATTATTTAATTTGATATGCTTTCACTATTTTCTATATAAGAGAACTTATTTTTATTTAATTTTTCTTTTTCTTTTAATTTTATGTTTATATTTTCTAAATTTTAATTTAAGTTTAATTATTTTTATAAATCTTCATTTTTTTATTTTAAGATACTTAGTTTTTAATTTATTTCAAAATCAATTTTACCTATAACTTGTACTTATTCTTTAAATATGCCTATCTTCTAAACATAAGTTTTATTTTAAATTTCTAATTCTTAAATTTTCTTTAAAAATTCTTCAGTTTCTTTATTTAATGCCTATATTTATGTATTTTCTATACTATTTTATTATTTATTTTTATTAATTTGTATGTCGAATGCTGAATCTTAACAATTTATTGAAGAAATTTAAGAATCATTTTAGTGTTTATCACATTATTAAAATGACAAATGAAATTGCTTATATACTTCTTCCTCTTCATCTTATTAATCATAAAAATCATTTTTTTCATTAAAATACTGTTATTCGCTTTAAGATTAGGGGCTCAGAATATTTGGAGTTTCTGAATTTTTTTGATGTGATAATTCAAGGTCATCAGTATTTTTTTTAATTTTTTGATTGTTTTCAATATTTTCTGAAGTAATGGATTAATTCATTTTTTAATTTTTTGTTATATATAGTATATAAAAAAATAAAAAAATAATAATTTATTATTTTTTTATTAAAAATAATATTAATGAGTATTTGTTAAAAACATAAAAAATAACAGATTTATTTTTGTGAAAAATGCCAAAATTTTTTTTGTTCTAAATGCATTTTAAACTCACAATCTTTTTTATAAAAAAAGCATTTAATTTAAACTTTTAACTCTAAAAATATAATTCAGACTTCCTAAATATAAAATTCCCTTTATAAATAATTTGAAAAAATAAAAAAGCTTGATTTTAATTAAAACAGATTAGAAACAGTTGAATAGAAATTACTTCTATATTATAACAATATTTCGATTGAAAAAAATAAATAAAATTAAAAACTCCATATAAGTGAAATAATTACATAATCAAATAATTTATTAGGAATTTTATAATCGTCATAAAGCTTCAATATATAAAAATTTATAGGTTAATTATCCAAAACAGCAAACATATGTGATAACATACCTATGAATAATTTGAGAAATGATTTTTAAATTTTAAATATAGTTAAAATAGATGACAATACTTTATGTTTTAGTTGTAATTCATATATTATTTATCATTATGATATTATAGAAAATATATATATCCAATAAATAGAAATTTAAAGTCCTATTTTTAAACTTATAAACCTGGAAATAAGTAATTAAATAAGTATAGGAATTCATATTTATAAAGGAAATACTTTATTAGAAGAAGGAGTTTTAGAAATAATTTATTTGGAGAAAAAAATGAAAAGGGAATTCATTTTTTCTTCTAAAAATATTGTTGATATAAAATATGTAAAGAAAAGACATTTTTTTATTGTCATAACTGATTTTTCTTAAATTTAGATTATTAATATTTTTAACAAAAAAATAATTAGAAATATTTCTTTTACAAATGAAATTTTCTCTTGTTCTGTTGATAGTAATTTTCTCTATATTAACTTCGCAAACGGAATTTACTCGATTTGGGATTTTGTCAAAAATTAGCAGATTTTGGAAAATAATTAGAATTAAAATTAATTTTTAGATGAAATTTTGTATTCAGATTCGTTTTGGATTTGTGAAAATTTTGAGTATTATTGAAGGATAAAATGATAGTATTTATTTTTAGAATAATTAAACAGGAGATTTAATTAAAACTGAAAAAAACAAATAAATTATATTATACTTTGATATGTTTGGTATGTTTATTCCTTTTTATTTTAATAATAAAATTTATTTTAATAATTTGTTTTCTTAAGAGAATTTAAAAGTTATTAATTTAAATAATATTTCATTAAATGAAAATATTAAAAATTTTAATTTATTTTAAATGGATAATATAACACCTGTCTGTATACTTAATCATTTCGACTTTATTGCAGTTTTGTTTTTAAATGGAAAAGTACTTTATTTTAAATGAAATGTAATTTAAAATATGTTATATTTTAAATATATATAAACGTAAAAATAATTATAAATTATATTTATATAATTATTTACATATTTTATTTAATATTAAATTTTTATTAATAAAATTTATTACTAAAAAAACTTCTATTTTTATTTTCAAATCATATTCAAAATTTTTAAATAAATATATGAATTTATAAGTAATTGAAACTCTTCTTTTCAATTTTTTAAATTAAAACAGATAAATAATAATATATATAAAATAAACTGATATCTGTTAATATTTATTAAAATATTATATATATATTTTTTTTTTTCATTTTTATAAATAAACTTAATTTCTACATATAGGACATTTTAAATTGTACTAAAACCATTTTAAGATACATTTTGAATGAAAGTGATGTCTTTTTAAATAAAAATATTTATAAAAATATTAAATATTACAAATTATTGCATGGCAGTTAAATAATTTCTTATTTATCCAAATAGGGTTCCATACAAATCGTACATTCACTAATATTTAGTTATATTTAAGGACAAATAATAATCTTTTTAACTTCTTTTTTGATTTCCTTTATATTTTATATTGATAAAAAATTTAGAATTGATAAATGATTAATAATATGAACCTTTATTTTAAAATAATTAATTAATTATTTATATAGAGCAAAAACTATATAGCAACTTATAGTTGGAATATAAATAATTAAAGAAGCTATACCCATTAAAAAGCAAGCTAAAAATGCAGCTTGAAATACATATCCAATAAATAAACTAATAAAAACAGCATATTATACAAAGTTAACTTATGTTTTATTAAAAAATATATATTATATTTACAATTAGTTTACATTTATCACATTATTATAATTATAAAGGCTCTGATATCATATATATATAATTTCCAATAGCAATCATACCTTAAATAAAGAAGTTGATAATTTTTGTGAAAATAAAATTCATGAATTTAAGAAAGAAGCATTTTTTAATTAAATAATCAATTATTTAAGAGCTAAATTAATCAATTTTTAAATTTTAAGTATTTTTTTTTTTTGTATAATAAGGAATATAAGTATTGTTTCGTATGGTATTTATATCTGTATAAATACAATTATAGTGATTATATAATGAAGCATGCTTAACTTTTCAACAAATTATATTATTTGTAACCAATAAATAAAATCTTCATTATCACATTATTAGTTTTTATTATATAAAGCAATAAAGCATATAAAAAATTTTATAAAATGAAATATTACTAAATTTACTTAATCGTTTACTGCTTATTTGTGTATTTTTAAAAATTATTCATTCTTTTTATTTTAAAATTTTTTCTTTTCTTGATTTTAAATTTATTTTATATATCTCTATTAAAAATCAAAGTTAATAACCCTTTGTTCAATTTATTATTAATTCATTTTTTTATTTATTATAAATAATATTATATATTTTGTTATTATTATTTTTTAAAATTTTTCTGTGTTTTTAATATATAATGATAAAATAATAAAATAAATTATCATAAAATATATTTATTTCTATAATTAGAATGATTTTTTGTATTTTTAATTCATTAAAATTTTAGGATTAAATATTTTTATAAAACATTTAAAGCAATAAAAAAATAAAATTTATTATAATATATAAAATTAAATTAATAATATTAATTATAATATATATTTATAATTAATAAATAATGTATAATTGTATTAAATTATAATTTAATTTAAACTACACGTATAATAAATATTATAAATAATTAATTTAATTAATTAATATTTAAATTATAAATTTTAATTTGATGAGTATAAAAAAAAAATTTTAAATATTCTTAACTGCCTTAAATGAAATAATTAAAGAATATAATTATTTTGTTAAAATAAATAAATATATTTTTTGATTATGTTTAAAATAAATATATTATTAAAAATCCTAATATTTTTAAATTAAATTATATAATTTAAAAATATTAGTATTTTTAAAGATTTAACGATTTTAATTATTTATTTTAAAAAATTAAAAAAAAAATATTTAATTTAAAATTTACTTATTTTTTATTAAAAATCTTAATAAATTATAATATTTTGACCAATAAATAGTTAAAATAAATGTACAAATTATATTTATTTAATATAATTAAGAATAAAAAGTGTAATTAACATATAAAATTTCGCTTTAAAATAAATTAAATAATTAATAAATAATTTAAATACTATGTATACTACGATTCGAGAAAAAAGTTATTGTACTAAACAATATAATTTTTAAAAAACAAATAAAAGTAAAGCATAAAATTGCAAGAATAGAAAAGAATATGCAAAAAAAAAGTTAAAATTATGAAAAGTATTATCAAATAATAAAAAAAATAATCTATCGTAGGAATCTTTATTTAATATAGGTTTAAATTATTTAAATGATTTATATTATAACAAATTTAAATATTAAAATTAATAAGATTATTTATTAAAAATTATTATAGAAAAGCATATATTGCTAGTATAAAGATATAATTTAATATATATATATCTATAAAAGACTAAGTATATTATAAAAGCAATTAGATTTATACTTTAAAAGAAATAGAAAAAATATCAAATTAAAAATTTGAAGGAGAAGATAGTAATATTTTACTTGCTGTATTTTTTTATCCAGTTAAAAAACATTAAGCTTTAAGTTGTTTCATTAGAATTTCTTATTTAAATATAATTTTGGTTTGTAATTATATTTATTTTACAAAAGTATTTATATTTAAATTACTTATATTAAAAAAGGATTCTAATAAAAAGGTAGTTGACCCTATAGAAAGAATGCCCAAAATAAATATTATAAGCCAAAAACTATTAGAAGCTGCAAAAATATCTAAATATGAGGCAATAGTAGAACAAGAATTAATAAAAGCATTAAATTAATATGAATTGGAGAATTTGAAAATTCAAAAACAATTAGATACTTCTGTTTTAGAATATACTATTATAAAAATTTGAGCTTTTTAGCTTAAGGCTTTGAAGAAGCTGGCCTTAAAATTATTGGTTAAAATATGAATAGAGGTAAATATAATATTATTAAAAATATATAAATTTAATTTTATAAATATGGAAAAGTAAATCCTATGATTGCTAGAAGAAAAATAATGGCAATTATCGTATTTGTTTCAACTCATAATTGAAGAATTGGAAGAAAGTGTAATGATTTTCGCGAATTAAATAGCCGAAGTTGTTCCTAACGTTTGTGATTCTTTTCATGGTGTGACTAATAAAAATCTCAGAGATTGCTTTTTTGATGGTTTGGAAGTTTAAAGAAAAAGATAGGCTGGCATATCTTAATTAAAAGAAGAACTGCGTGTTAAAAAACTTATGTATTGCTGATTTAGCCCTTATTGGGTTTCTTAAAACATTTTAATATAAATCATCTTAGACATCTTAAATTTTTTTTTTTTTTTTTTTTTTTCAAATAAATATATATTAAATTTAATTTAATTAAGTTTAAGTATTAATTTTTTTCTTTTAAAAAATATACTTTAATCTTTTTTTATGTAATGTTAAATAATAATATTAAAAATAATTAAATTTTTTAATCAAAATCTATTTCAGATGGTCTTATTTTTACTTTACTTGCATACATGTCAAATTTAAACTTTAAATAACCTGAATAATATAGATGATACATAGAATTAGTTGATAAATGAGTATAAATATGTTTATTTTTAAAAAAATAATTACAATAACACAAATCAACATTTTTATATTTTATTATTTATTTATTCTATTAATTTTTATACTTTTTATAAATAAGCATTTTGTATTTCTTCCAAAGGTTCAATAGTTAAAATTCCTTTCAATACTTATTCATTAATTTATTCAAGTCTTTTTAGAAATTCTTTATTATTAAGAATGTTTTAAGCAACTAATACAGCATAGCTTTTTCTTTGAACACCAGGTTTTAAAGCAAATAATTATTTAATTTTTTTTATATATGAGTTATTACTATCAATTTTTTCTTCAATAATAACGTTCATATGGAGAAATCTTACTAAATAATTTTCCTGAAATTCCTAATAATTAAAAAGCTAATTTAAATGACTTGCCATTATTAATGTGGGAGTGCTTTCATATTTCAATTTCATATAATCTTAATTTTAATTATCCTGTTTAAATTTTTCGAAATCCATGTTTATTTGAATGTGTTTTTAACTAAAATAACTAATTAAATTAAAATTTAAATATATGCTTTCTTTTAATTTTAAATCTTCATTATAAAAATATATTTATATTTTTATTTATAAATAGATTGATATTACTTTTTCCTAATTCATCAAGAAGTATTAGTGATCTATTAGTAGAATTTTAAATAATATAATTTAAACTCTTCAGTTCATCCTCACCTTCCCCTATAAAAGAAAGAATAGAACTTACCATATTACTTTAACAATAAATTCCATCCAAAAGTCCAATTTTGGAAAATCTACAAGGAACAAAGCATCCTAAATGAGCTAAATAGCAACAAATGCCTACCTTTTTATGCTTTAAAAAAAAAAAAAAAAAAAAAAAAAAACAGTTTTTAAAAAAGCACTTTTTCCTGAATAATTTGGACCAGTTAAAAATGTAATTTTATTTGAAAAAGTTTTATTTAGAATTTAAAAAGAAAATGTTTTTTCATCATATTAATCTACATAATTATATACAATAAAATTGTTTCTTACATATTCTTTTTTTTCATTTATTATTAACTCTATTAGTATATTTCGACATTCCATTAAAATGATACATGAATTTTCGCTTATTTCTGGTTTTCGTAAATTGTATGTTTAACAGCCTAGAAAAAAAGTAAAAAAACATCTAGTTCTCCTAAAAACTCATTAATATGATTTAGTTCGTCTTTATTCTAGATTATTTCAAATTCTATCTCTCTTAATATTTCTCTTTGTATGTCTATTATTTTACTTTGAATATCACCATATTGTAAATCTAAATCTACGCATATATCACATTTAAATAAGAGTGCATCTTTTAATTAAAAAGAGTATTTGTAATCTTAGTTCAAGCCGTATTCTTTAATTAATTTTTAATTTCCTTCTTCTGTTATTTCCTCTTCATCCTCATCTTCATCTTCATTTTCATCTTCAGTAAAATAATTTTATTTCGATGCATTTTCTTCATCTTTATTTTTATCTTCTTCTTTTTCTTCATCTTCCTCCTTTTATTTTTTTATTTAAATAAATAAATATTTATAAATTTATATTTATTTTTATTATAAAAAATAAACTTTAATAGTAAGCAAAGACTTATCATGAACAGAAGTTTACTATTTTGACAAAATTAATTTAGAAGAAGAATGTAAAAATTTTTATTTATTTTTTTAAATGCCAACATAAAATCCTAATTAAGGGAAATACTAAATAAGTACTTTAGAATTAAAATTCCCATTTAAACATAATTTAGAATATTCCTATTAAGTAAAAGACTCCAAAGTTTAATTTAATCCTTCATTTAATTCGATTAATTTATCTAATTCTTCAACTATTCCTTTTCTTATATTAATTTCACCTTTTTTTAATTCAAATTCTAAATTTTCATCTAAGAAAGCATTTAAAAGTGTAATTTTCGAATAAGCATTTTCATCAAAAGTGCTCATAAAAATTGTATTTTAAACATTATGCTCATTTTTTAAAAGGAAAATTAAATTTAAACTACTTTCAATCGTTAATTTTAATCTTCTCCAATCTTCATAATTCATTTATACGTTTTTAAGCTTATCGATTATTTAAGAAAAATCAGTACATTATTACAAATTCTTTTTTATATTTCTTAACTTTTCTTATTTTAAATCAAAAAAAAAATCTATAGTTTCTTATCTTTTCTAATATAATTTAGATTATTTTTTAATAAAATATATAAAATAAATTTACTAGAATAATTTCTTTATTATAAGTAGGTGTAAAGAAGATTTATTTAAGCTTTTTCTTTCCATTTTTAGTACAGGCGAATTTCTCGAAAATCATAAATAAAGAAAATCCTTCTTTAGCTTTTCCTTTTCCTTTAATAAGAGAAGGATGCATATCATCTTTAAAAACACTTAAATAATGTAAAGTCTATCTATTATAGTTTACTTGTTCGAATTAGTTATTATTATTTTTTATATCTTTTATACTAAAGTTTCTTTTATTTATTATTTAGCTGTTAAATAAAAAACATAATAATCCAGATAAAGATTTTAACTTTTAAGTTTCATTAAAATCAAATATTAATTATAAATATAAATCTTTTTCAATAATTTCATTATAGTTTATATTATAAAGTTTATCCATTATGCTATTCTGTTAATATTCTTGAAGTTAAATTTTGCTTATCTTTACATTCATACACCTTTCTTCACAAAAATATATTTTTAATGCTTCTAGAATATATAAAGAAAAATTTTAAGGTATAATTAAAGCTGTTATTTCTTCAAATTAATTAAATATTTTTAAGAATTGGTTTTCATCTAATTTAAATTAATTATGGATTTAAAAGCATTATATTTTTTAAGTGCTTTAGCAATAAAAGGAAGTTCCTATTTTATTTTATTCAAAAAAAATACTTATAATTGTCATCTTTTTAGCTAAAAATTTTATCAATTATTTTAAAAAAAATTAGTAAAAAAAACAATATGTTAAATAAATGATATATTTAATTTATAAATAAATAATTAAAAATATAATAATATATTTTATATAATTATTTTATATTCAAAATAATTTAATTCAACATCAATTTTAACTTATAATTATGTTTATACAATAATGATTATTTATGAATAAAGAAATACTACATTTTAAAAATAAAAATAATATTTTGCATTATTAGGTAAATCTTAATATAATAATACTTATTTAAACTAATAATTATCTTATGTATTTTCAATTTTTATTCTTTTACATATATTTTTATTTTTAAGGGATTTGTTTAACTATTTATTGAAGTTTTTCTATTATCAGTTTCTAGTTTAAAATATTTTAAATTTTAATTATTTTTATTATAATATTATTTAAGTTAGTGATTATCCATAATCTAAAGATTTTTTTTACTATTTTCAGTTTAATTATATTAATTGAGAAATCTTAATTTAGTTATTAAGCAATATTTGTTTATTCATATAGTAAATTTGCATTTCTAATTATTCAGAAAATTTACAAATAAAAAATTTATGAATATAATTTTAGAATTTTTAATTATCATTTCTACTTTTTTATAAATAATAAAAAAATTATTCTTTTTTGAAAAATACATTCATAGTTTTTTTAGTATTCTTTTTTTGGTCAACAAATTAATATATTTTTTTTAATATTTCTTATTTATGCATGAATAAATAATTCATTATTAAATTAATGTTTTATATCTTCAAAAAATTTAGCTGTCCTTTAATTTATAAATCAACTATAAAAGTTTTATAATTTAATATATTATTTGCAAAATAATTAAACGTAAGAATTATAAATTTTCTTCATTAAAATATATTAAAATAAATTAATTTTTTAATTATAATTAATTAAATTATTATTACAACCATAGTTGACTTAAATGAGAATAATTTTTCAAATCAATGTAAGAAATAATAATTATATTACTTCAATATTATAAATATAAAATATCTGTTAAAATTAAAAATATTTAATCTAATTAAAATAATATTATATATATGCTCATTATTTTATATATATAATTATATTTTATAAAATAAATATTTTTATTGTTTTATTAAATGATTTTAATGATTATATAAAATATATTAAAATTATCTTTTATTAATTAAAGAAGTAATTAAGTTAATTTTATTATATTTCTAGAATAATTTTAAAATAAAATTATTTTAGAAAATATTATTAAAGATATTTAATTTCAATCTGTTATTTATAATATAAAATTAATAGAAATAATTATTATAATGAAAAACAAAAATGAAAATCTTCAATAAATTTTTATTTTTTCAATATATAAATTTAAAAATGTATTAATATAACTATAAACTTTTAAAAAATTGTTTTTACTATTAGAATATTAAATTATTTAATCAAAATAAATTTATATTTATTTTTGTTTTAAATATTTAATTATACATTTTTTATTATATTAAATAAATAATAATTATATATTTTTCATTATATATATGAATTATTATGAATATATATAAATATAATTATTATTATCTTTAAAAAGGATAAATTTATAAAATATATTTAAAATGTCTTGTTGTTAAAAATTATTAAGAACTTTTATAATTTTTTTAGTATAAAAAGCTTAATTATAGCTGGTTTAATAATTTATTTTATTTTAATTATAAAAACGAATATAAAACACTTTTTGAATACATACATTAAAGCCTTCAATAGTATATTATGTATATAATATCTGTTTTAGGAGGTTTATTCATATCTTAGAGTTTATTTGGGTTAAGTGGAGTCTATTTTCGTAGTAAATGTTGTATTTTTTTAAGCAGAATTTTTTCTTTTCTAATAAGTATTTTATTTATTGCTTTAGGAATAACATTGATTTATTTAAATAAAAATTAATATTAATAATTTAAAGATGCAAATTGTGAATAAAATTAAAATAATGATTTTGAATGGCTGTATAATAGTAATGAAGCTTATAAACAAGCTTAAATTAAACTATTTTGTTAAGATTTATGTTAATGCTATATTAAAAATCCTTAAATATATGAAAATGATCTGAATTTTTCATAGACTGATAGTTCTTTACCTTATTAGGTTTAGCAATGCTAATTATATAATTAAATTATACCCGAATAATATCGTTATTATGATAAATTAGCAAATTTTATTGAAACATATTTTAAATGTAGTGGAATATGTGATAATATTCCTTATTATATATTTTCAGATATCAATAATAGCCCTCCATAATACAATTAAGGTTGCAAAAAACGAATTTAAGATTTTTTAGATAAAATAAGTACTTTTGTATATTTAAGTAGCTTAATTTTAGGAGGAATATATTTTTTATTGATAATGTTAATGTTTTATATAAAATAAGTCGAATAAAAAAAAGAAAAATATAATAAGTTAATAGACTGATTAAAATAATATCAAAATATTAAAGATTTAATAAATAAATTAAAGTTATATTTGTTAATTTTTATATAAATTTTTTATGTTTTATATATAAAAAATATAAATATAAATATATTTTAAATTTTTATTCATATTTTTAATTTTTTAATTTTTATTTATAAATAAAAAAATTTGTTTGAGTTGGGGTTGGGGTTGGGGTTGGGGTTGGGGTTGGGGTTGGGGTTGGGGTTGGGGTTGGGGTTGGGGT